TATATATGTGTGTGTGTGTGTGTGTGTGTGTGTGTGTGTGTGTGTGTGTGTGTGTGTGTGTGTGTGTGTGTGTGTGTGTGTTATATAGAAAGTGCTCCAAATATTAACTTATAAAATTTTTAGATTGTCCTGGAACCCAGAGTGAGAGTGCTGGCAAAGCATCAGCTTGTGCGGGATGCCCGAATCAGTCGCTATGTTCTTCCGGAGCCACCAAGCAGCCAGATCCTGGTATTGCGCTTGTGAAAGAAAGACTTACTTCAGTGCGGAATAAGCTGCTAGTGCTTTCAGGCAAAGGAGGAGTAGGCAAAAGTACTGTGACATCATTACTATCCAGGTGTCTTGCAGCAAATAATTCTGACAGAAATGTAAGCATATAACTAATTATAACTGAAAAGGAAAATATTGTGTGATACAATTGTTTGGAACAAATACTCAATTTTTTTATCTTTTTGTTGGGTCTTATATGTTCTATGTATATTATGCCATGCTAATATAGATACCATATATTTTATTGTCACCTAAGTAATCTCACATTTATATAAAATTAAAAAGCAAGTTAATGTAATAACTCACTCTTTTGCCCATTCCAAGTACATCCATATGATTTTCAATATACATGTTGACATAGTGAACGCCTAGCAGCTATCTTGTATGAAATAACCTCAGACAGAGAATATCTATAGTCGACTAATGGCTATGTATGTCGTATCAACCAGTGCCAGTTCCTTATTGATTATCAGACTTTTAGTATTCTCATTCTTATTATTAGTATTTCAAGTCAGTATTTTAGTATTTCAGAGATATAAATACAGATACAATATAATTAAATTATATCTGTATTTATATTTTTGATATGAATATCACAACACCAAATATTATTTAATTAATCTTTGTGATATATATTGGAAAATTTGATTATATAAATTTTATTAGAGAGACATTTTAAATCTTGTATCTTATTTAGGTGGGAGTATTGGATATTGACATTTGTGGACCATCGCAGCCAAGGGTACTGGGAGCACTTGGTGAACAAGTTCATCAAAGTGGATCAGGATGGTCACCTGTAGTAAGTAAACTCTTTGAAGCAGAATTATTATACTATTAAAAAACCTGTCATATAACACTGTATATTATTTTGTTTTAGTATATCGAGGATAACTTATCACTAATGTCGATTGGTTTTTTGCTCAGCAGTCCAAGTGATGCAGTTATTTGGAGAGGACCAAAGAAGAATGGTATCGGTGTACTTTTAAGATTTCATCTTTTATAATTCTGATTATATTAATCTATATGGTTTTCATTGTAAATAGATTTAATAGATTTATCTGCATATCTTCAGGTATGATCAGACAATTTCTATCAGAAGTTGATTGGGGTAGCTTAGATTATCTCATTTTGGATACACCGCCTGGCACATCAGACGAACATTTGTCAGCTACGTCATATCTAAAAGGTGCCGGCATAACGGGTGCCATAATTGTCA